GCCTATTTGATTGAATTGGTTGAAATATTTGATTCCAATTTTGCTCACTATGCATTGGGAAAGTTTTACCTTAAAACTAAACAATACGAAAGGGCAATGGATCATTTTAATGTTGCTGCTTCAAGAAACTACAAGAAGGCAATCTTGGAACAAGCACTCCTCTTGAGAAGTGGTTCTCCTGATGGTGTCATTCCTAAAAATCCATTCAAATCCTTAGAATTGTTTAAACAAGTAAGATTCAATTCGATAGCTCACAAAAACTTGATAGAAATGTTTAGAAATGGAGAAGGACTAGCAAAGGCAAGTTATATCAGGGTGGTGTTTCAAATATTCAGGTATCTCATGGTTAGAATTGCAAAGAGAACAGTAGGTGGCTTTGCCTATGTCTTTTTGGAAATTACCTGGTACATATTGGCTTTTTCAATGGCCTCACTAGTTTTAGGACTTGTCTTGGAATGGTATTTGAACAGGTAGTTGCATGTAAATAGTAAATAAAAGAAAATTGTGATTAAAGAGTGGGAGACAATTTTTGAATTATGATCAAGTAGATGAGATTATTTCCAAAGTCATTGGAAGACAAATACTTGATTTACAACTAGAAAGAAACCAAGATCTTTGGAACAATTCATTCAAGAAAATAAACATCATTTTGAATAATGTTCAATCTCCACAATTAACAGAGCCAAGGATTCACAAAAAATTGCCTTTATCTTGCAACTAAAATTTGCCGACACCAGGGATCGAACCAGGGACCTTAAGATCTTCAGTCTTACGCTCTCCCAACTGAGCTATGTCGGCTTCTTATCAATAAATAAAGATTACCGTAATTGATTTTAAACAGATTTGTAAGGGAGATTGTATTTTTCACCTTGTTTTCAATCTTGCCAAGCAAGGCAAATGGTCTGAAGCATTCTCTTTAAATTCCACCAATATCTTCTTTTCCACCACTTCAAACTCCTCCTTCTTATAAAGAATGTGATCAAACGATGCCCACATTGAAATATTCCATCTTAATGGCCAATACCAACTCGTTTCATTATCCAATGCATCAACAAACTATTCAAATGAAAAAGACAATTCAAATTCTAAATAACATACCTTCTTTTCCATCAGGAAATCTGCATAGGATGGAGAGAGCCAACTTCCAGATTCAAAAGATTCATTAAAATCTCCAACAATTAACAAGGGAAGTGAACTCAATCTGAGAGCTTGTTCCCAATAGCTCTGCATCTCCTTCAAACGTATTGATCTAGTTTTCCACAGAGCTGACAGTTCAATATTCGCCTTCTGGTTATCATCAAATCCAAGAGGTGGTCTCAAGTGAACACTCAACACTTGAAAAGAGTGGCCATTCCTCCTATCCTTCACAAGAACATGCAGGGCAGGAAAGACAGAACCCTCTACACCACTCTCCAGAACACTTACCTTAATATCCAAATAACTCCTAGCCAACACTGCAGCTCCACTCGGTTTGCACTGCTCCACATTGGAATGATCCCAATATTGATGAGGAAAATGAGTGGAAATTATCAGAGATGTATTCAGAGCCTTTTCCCATCCTGTATGAGTTTCTTGTAAGCAAATCAAGTCGCAGCCTTGATGATCATGAGGATGTGGATGTGGATGAATAGCCTCTTCGATGGCTTGCTCAACTCTCTTACCTCCTCTTCT